AGTTGCTTCAGTTGTGTCCAACTCTTTGCAAATCCCATGGACTGTAGCCAGCCAGGCTCCTTAGTCCATGGGATTTTCCAGGCAAGAATACTGGAGTGGGTAGCCATGCCCTCTTCCAGGGGATCTTCCTGACCCAGGGATCAAACCCACATCTCCTGAATCTCCTGCATTGCAGGTCGATTCTTTGCCATTGAGCCACCAGGAAAACCCAAACTGGATTCCTACCTCATGCCATATTCAAAAGCTAATTCCACATTGAATAAATCTTAAGTGTAGAAGAGAAAATTTTAAAAACATTCAGAAGAAAATATAAATTATCTTTATGACATTCAGTTAAGGATACATTTTAAAACAAGATACATAAAGCACTAAAAATAAGATATTGATGAATTCACTTCTTTAAATTTGACAACTTCTGATTATCAACAACACCACCATAAGTAAAGTGAAAAAGATAAGTTAAAAAATGATGTGATCTATTTGCCTCACATAAAAACTAACAAAAGATTAAACCGACTGTTTCAAGATCTGCTATAAATCAAAAAGGAAAACACAAACAACTCAATGGGAAAATGCACAAAGGAGAAAAAGAATTAGGAATAGGAAGTAAAACAGAACATGAAAAGATGCTTTATCTCAATAATAACCAGGAAAATGCCAATTAAGACCATAAAAAGATACAATGTTACACTGACAAGGGTGCAAAATTTAAGAAGTCTGACAATACCAAATGCTGGTGAAAATGTGAAATCCTGGAAATGATGTAGTCAACATTTAAGGTATGAGTGTTCATTGAGACTACCACTTAAGAATAAAATGTCTTTGTTGTTTTGTAAAGTTGAATAAAGATATTCTCTAAATTTGTGCATTTCTACCCATAGTTATATAACTCAGAAAATTCTAGCATATGTACACAATGAGATTTGTTCCAGAACTATCATAGCAGTGTTGTGCATAATAGAAAAAGAAAAACTGAAAAAGGACTCCAAGATGGTTTTGCAGGAGAATGGGTAAATATGTCTGAAATATTCACATGATGCAATATTATGCATCAGATTTCTCTGAACCAGAGAATGAACTAGAACTATACAGACAACATGAATGAGTATTTAGAAACATTATATTGAATGAAAAAGTAAATTGCAGATTATGTATGGTGTTTTATAAACTGTGGTATAATTTGCATAGAATAAGATACATTCTTGGTGTGCAGTTCTATGAGTTTTGACAAGCACATGACTCATACTCAAAATATAGAGCAATTCCATCATCCTTTCAGTTCCTTTCTGTTCTTTTAGAGTCATCCTATTCCCCCCCAACACCAAGCTCTGTTAAATACTGATCTGCTTTCTGTTCCTATAATTTCCCTTTTTCTAGACTCTCACCTAAATGTAAGTGTGTTGATATAGCCTTTTAAGTCTGGTTTCTTTCTCTTAGCATTTGGGGGCCATTCATATAGTGTTTCATTAATTTATTCTATTTTACTGTTAGGTAATATTCCACTGAATGAATGTATCACAGTTCATTCATTCACCACGTTTGGGTTGTTTCTAGTATTTGGGAGCAATGAATAAAACCATTATAAATATTTACACACAGGTTTCTGTGTCAACTAAAGTTTTCTTTTCTCCTGAAAGCACTCAAGAGCAAAATTGTTCAGTTATATGGCAAATATATGAATAACTCTATGAAACTGCAAAGCTGTTTTCCAAAGTGATTGCGGTATTTTGCATTCCCATCAACAATGTATGACTTCAGATAGCTCCATCAACATCCTCACCAGCACTTGGTATTATCAAGTTTTTAATTTGTTTAATCAAGTCATCGTAACAGATGTATAGGGATATCTCATATGACTGGAGTTGTATTTCTGTGATAATTAATGGTATAAGCATATTTTCATGTGCTTATTTACCATTTGTATTTTGGTTGAAGTCTTTGTTCAAATATCTTTTTCATTTTTTTGTGTGTGTTTTCACTAGCTTGACCAAACTAATCAGAGAGATAGCAACAGATATTAGATTTGAAAGATACACAGCACTAACACTGAAAAAAGAAACAGAAATTGATAAAGCTCTATGTTTTTTAAAGAAATAAAAAACTTAATTACAATGTTTCACACAAAGAACACTCCAGGCACAGCTTTACTGATAAATTCTATCTAAGAAATAAGGTCAACTTACATACTCAAGCAGAAATTAAAGAATGGAGGAATACTTACCAACTATTTGAAAGGGTCGGCATTATTATGGTTTCCTAGTCAGACAAATCTCTTTAGTGACCACACATGTAACAATCTTTAACAAAATACTAGTAAGTCAAATCAGCAATATACTAAAAAATACACTACACTGTGACAAAATGGGGTTTAACTTGGAAATTCAAGGTTATTTAACATAAGAAAATCCAATAATTTACCATACTAAAAATATAAAGGTAAATAATCATATGATCACGTCAACAGAGGCAGAAAATGAATTCGACAGATTTCATGATTTTAAAAGCTATCAGAAAACTAAGAATAGGAGATGACATCCTCACTCTAATAAAGAATGTCTGTGTGGGTTTATTTCTGGGCTGTCTCTTCTGTCCCATTGGTGTATGTATCACAATGTAAGATGCCTCTAGGTATACTGTTTTTTCTCAAGATTGTTTTGGCTATTTGAGGCCCATTTGGTTCCATATAAAATATAGGATTGTCTTTTCTACTTTGTAAAATAAAATGCTATTGGAATCTCATTCGCATTGATAGATTTGATTGAATCTTTAAGTAAATTTGAATGGTATAGAAAATTTGACAATATTAAATCTTCTAATCCGTTAAGATGGGTTGTCTTTCCCTTGTTTTTTGACTTCTTTCTTCTCATTTATAGTGTTTTGTAGTTTTCATTGTATGCGATTTTTACCTCCATGAAGTTTATTTCTAACTTTTTTAATAATGTTATTATTGGGATTGCTTTTTAAATTTCTTCTTTTGATAGTTAATTGTTAGGATATAAAAATACAACTGATTTTTGTACATCAATTTTGAATCTTGAAGCTTTATCGAATCATTTATTCTAATAGATTGTTGTGGAAACTTCAGGGATTTAATATAAAAACATGTCATCTGCAAACAGAAATAATTTTGCTTCTTCATTTCCTATTTAGATGACTTTCACTTATTTTTCATTCCTAAATGATCTGATTAGTACTTCCAGTTCTGTGTTAAATAGAAGTGGCAAGAATGAACATCCTTGCCTTGTCCCTGATTTTAGAATAAAAGCTTCCATTTTTCACTGTTGAGTGTAATGTTAGCAGTGGGCTTTTCATAGATGGCCTTAAATATGATAATTTCCTTCTGTTCTTAGTTTATTGAGTATTTGTATCTAGAAAGGATTGAATTTTGTCAAATGCTTTTTCTGCATCTATTTAGATGATCATATGATTGTCATCTTTCTATCAATGTGATGTAAACTTATTGATTTGTGTATATTAAACCATCCATGCAGCTTAGGAATAAATCTTACTTGAACATGGTTATTTGGTCCTTTCAGCGTACTTTCGAATTCAGTTTGCTAGTATTTTTTTGAGAATTTTTGTGCCTATATTCATCAGGAGTTGAGCAGCATTGCTTTGGGAAGCCTTCTTTGTAATACCAGTTTTCTTCTTCTGTAAAACTGTACCTTCTAGAAGCTTTTCTTAAGATCCAGACTTAGGTGTTTCTCTGTTCTCCTACTGCATTTACTGGACTTTATGGACATGATTTGTTTATGAGTGATTCAAAAGGTATAAAATCATGAATTTCCAATTACATTTCTAATCACAGTTCTTAACACATAATGCTAACTAATAAATGGTAAATCCTGCTTTATTAAATATAATTATAGCTTTCAAGAAGCACATGAAATATTCACTATGTATGTAAACAAATAACTTTACCATGGTGAGACATGTCATAATGGTAGCATGAAACAAGTAAAATGTTGACACAAGAAGAATATGATCCACTAATGGCGGATAGAAGCTTAGGGTAGAGCTCCCAAAGAATGAATAAAAAATTGCTTACCAGAAAAGCATAATAGAGATATCCTAGGGAAAGGCAATACTTTATACGCAGTATCTATATAATATGTGGGGACTTCCCTGGTAGCTCAGCTGGTAAAGAATCTGTCTGTGGTGCAGGAGACCCTGGTTCAATTCCTGGGTTGGGAAGATCCCTGGAGAAGAGATAAGCTACCCACTCCAATATTCTTGGGCTTCCCTGTGGCTCAGATAGTAAAGAATCTACCTGCAATGTGGGGGACCTGAGGTCAATCCCTGGGTTGGGAAGATCTCCTGGAGGAGGGTATAGCAACCCACTTCAGTGTTCCTGCCTGGAGAATCCCCATTTTTCAAAGGACTTGCCAGGTGGCACTAGTGGTAAAGAACCTGCCTGCCAATGCAGGAGATGTAAGAGGAGCTGGTTCAGTCCCTTGGTTGGGAAGATCCCCTGGAGGAGGGCATGGAAATCCTCTCCAGTATTCTTGCCTGAAGAATCCCATGGAAGGGGAGCCTTGCGGGCTATAGTCCATTTGGTTGCAAAGACTCAGACATGACTGAAACGACTTAGCATGCATGCATGCATACAATATATACACAGTGTATATATACAAACATATGAAATATCATTGTATATTTAGGTAAATGCAAGCAGTTGAGATGGTTAGGGAATTAGGTTCAAATGGGAGAGCAGTAAAAAGTAAATTAGGGAAATTCAGGAGGGGAAAAATTGTGGAAAACCTGGCGTAAGAGAATATGGTATTTGGATATTCTCTGCACACATCAGAAATCATGAAAGCATTTTGATATAGAAAAATTATATATTGAAATTTATTATTTTAGCAATTAATTGTTCTATTTTTATCCACACAGCAACATAGAACAGAGATGTAAGAATTACAGTTTTTATTCTCCATATAAGTTGCTTTTAAACTTCAATACTGATTGACTTCAAAAGCTCAGAGAAAATCATTTCTTACCTTGTGACTGCCTTTGGGATATCATCAAATGGCCATTGTGGCCCAAAGAATCCACATCCACTGGCTATTAATGCAGTCATCTTCTCAAATTAATTTGAGCTCACGTTGCACATCTTAATGCAAAAGAGATTTAAGTTACAAGGACCCTTTAAAATACATTCTCTTTTTGATGGTGGTAACCTCTGTTTTCAACTAATGTGATGTAAGACAACATCTATGACATCATTAGATTTCTCCATGGGTCAGAACAGGGAGGGAAGTGGCCCACAGGGAAAATAATAAATCTTTGTGCTTTTTTCTCCCCCATGTCCTCTTACAGTCTGAACCATACTTTTAGAAAATAGTTGTATCAACTATTAAAATACATGTCAGTCTGATGATTCTTAAAGACATGTAGTAAAATGAATATTGTCCAGTATAAATAGAATATGTATTTTGTCACACTTAGACACACATATTCATGCACACACACAAACAACTGTGTTTGTTAATTTGTACATGTAGTCATATATGTACATATTCAGTTGGAAGTTCCCTGCTTTTGTGTATGTACTTTTGGAGATGTGTGCACGACATGTTGAGGGAAGAAGAGGATCTGAGTGTATCCAGCCAGATCAGCTGGCTTTGTTAACTTAACCAAAAGTTATAAGCAGGCATTACTTTAAACTCGAGTATGCTAAAATGAATAGACATAGTTCCTGACTTGAAGAATTGTATCTACTTCCAGTACAGATACACACAAAATGAATACATTTCAAAAAAACACATTCTATGATAGAACTATAATTTACCTCTGTAGAAACTGAGGAGATGACTGTGGATTCACACACTTAATTGTTCTGCACAATGCATGCAACCAAGAATTGAGGCTATAAGGAGAATGAAATACAGACCTTACCTTGAAGGAGTTCAAATATATGAATAGGCAATCAGGGAACAAGTAATTTTTGTCTCAGCCTTATTTGCCACACATCTACATTCCACATCAAATTTTTTTGTTTTGTATTTGTCCTAGATTATTTTAAACTACTCTTACCTATTAGGTTTTTTTTTCTATAGAGAATATGCCACAGCATCGCTTTTCAATTTATTGCTTCAATTCCATGATCTTTCACTATGACAGAAGTTTCACTTGAGTTAGATATATTAATTGAATTCTCTCTCATTAAATACACATTTGTTTAGTGCATATTATATGTTCCAGAAACACTATAGAGCTGAACTAGTTAGTAGGCTGGATAAATTCAGGCAAAGGCTGTATTAGTAATCAGACCTCTCCTGTGAAACCTTAGAAGCAGAATTAGAAAATGTTCAGAGCACTTAGGGCAAAGTGTTTATGACATACCCTCTGGGTTACTAAGAACAGAACCAGAACTGCCAGTTCATTCCAGATCAGTTCCTAGCAACGGCCAGTTAGCAACAATTTTAAAGTTGGATAAGAAATTAATTTGTGCTTCCTGGGTTGAAACATATGATGCTCCAATGAGTGACATAACTCCATCCTTTAAGTATAAGGCTGAAATTAAATAATATGTATTTGACTGTAAAACATTTAACTTTTCTTTTCTTTCTCCTTTTCTTCCCTTTCTCTTCCTTCCTTCTTTATCCCTCATTCTCTTACTTTTGTTTTTCTTTCTTTTTGTGTGTAGACAGCATGTGTCATAAAAATAATAGCATAATGGAAAAAGAATTTTTTCTGATTTGGAAAAATTCCTGCCAAATTGATGTCCCTTTAAGCAACCATTACCATACCAGGGAAGGCAGTAGATACATATCAAAGACCATGGGGAATGGTTGAAATAAGGTCAGAGTCTTTCCAGTGTGTGTTAGTAACAAAAAGTACTTGAAATTCATTTTGCTTCAGTTCATACTTCAATACTTTGTCCACATTACTTTTTTTTTTCTAAGTGAGAGAGGTAAAAAAATAAGATGTTGCTATTCCAAGTTTGACAAATTGTAAAATATTTCTCTCAAATCAATCCTCTCCCTGCCTTTTCCATTCATTGGCACATGAACATCTTTTTCTTTCCAGATGAGTCCGTTGAGAGTACGTCAGCATTACTCTAAGTAGAAGATGCTAGTATTCAATCACGAAAACAAAATAAAGTAAAAACTATGTAAACAAAATGCTGCTTGTCCACTTACCAGAATTTTGTCTCCTCAGGACATGGTAAAGTGTATTTTACTTTAAATGTTATCTTGTCTGAATTCTATCAAATAATCTCCCCCATAACCAAGTGGACATGCTGGTAAAAATTTCTCCATCTGAACAAAGGAAACATTAACAACCTAAACATTTTTTTTTAAACAAGATTGGTTTTATTTTACCTTATGAAAATATTTTCATGGCTCCCAGAATACCTTTCTTTTTTAAACCCTTGAGATGTTGGGCTAGGATTGATTCCAAGGTAATTCTGTTGCCAGTACATTTGAGTTTATAATATCATTAAAGTTGAACAAATATGAAAAGCCTGAAATGGAAAGTCAAATATAAACTAAAAGGAACATATACTCTACTCTTTCATTTTGCTGATCAATTTACTCAAAGCAAAGGAAAAGTAAAACAGGCAATAGGAAGTGTTTAGTAAACAAGTTTTGAATGAATATCTATAGACAAAGGGGGAAACGACCAGCTAAAATGAAAATCACTGGTGCTTTTCATAAAGTAGTAGGTTCTGTGGGTTTCCCAAGTGGCTCAATGGTAAAGAATCCACTTGCCAAGGCAGGAAACATGGGTTCAATCCTTGTGTCAAGAAGATTCTCTGGAGAAGGAAATGGTAATCTACTCAAGGATTCTTGCCTGGGAAGTCCCATGGACAGAGGAGCCAGGAGAGCTACAGTCCATGGAGTTGCAAAAGAGTCAGAAATGACAGCGACTAAACAACAAAGTCAGTTCTACATTTAACTGTTTGCACGTAGGCCACTAGAGTAAAGAGGATTGGGGGCTTTTGCATTTTCTCCTCTTAAATAATAGTATTCTTCATGGAGAGAGTAGTGGACAAGAGGGAGGCTTGCTGATAGTCCTTTATTTACTTCCACCTCCGTATACATTTATTTTGTCTCTATGTTATTGGTTGCTGCTGGCCTGAGGATAAATCTATCTTATTGTACTAAAAAACTATCTAGTGGCATGGAGGGCCCATTTTAAATAAGGTTATTTGTTTTTATGTTAATTTGTATGAGTTCTTTGTATTTGGGATATTAATCACTTATCAGACGCATCATTTACAAATATCTTCTATTCAGTAGGTGACCTTTTCATTCTGTTGATAGTTTCTTTGCTGTACAAAAGGTTTTTAGTTTGATGTAGTCCTATTTTTAATTTTTGCTTTTGTTTCACTTGCTTAAGGAGACCTAGTTAAACATACATAGCTAAGGCTGTTATCAAAGAGTATATTGCCTGTGTTTTCTCCTAGGAGTTTTATGGTTTCAGGCCTTACATTTAGATATTTAATCTATCTTAAATTTATTTTTGTATGTGGTTTGAGAAAGTAATTCAGCATGATTCCCTTGCATGTGGCTGTCCAGTTTTTCAAACAACATTTATTGAAAAGACTGCCCTTTCTCTGTTGTATTTTCTTCTTCATTATAGATTAATTAACCATAAAAATTTAGGTTTATTTCTGGGCTCTCTATCGTGTTCTATTGATCTATGTGTCTGTTTTTGTGCCGATACTATACTTTTTTTGATTCTGTAGCTTTAAAGTATAGTTTGAAATTATGGAGCGTGATATCTCCAGCTTTGTTCTTTCTCAAGATTGTTTCAACTATCTGGTATCTTTTGTGTTTCTGTACAATTTTTAGAATTATCTGCTCCAGTTCTATGAAAAATGTCATTGGTATTTTCATAGGAATTGAATTGAATTTGTAAATTGTTTTGGGAAATAGAGTCATTTCAACAACATTAGTTCTTTCAATCCATGAGCACATTTTATTTTTGCATTTGTGTAGTCTTCAATTTCTTTCATCAGTATTTAATAGTTTTCTGTGTACAGGTCTTTTGCTTCCTTGGTTAGATTTATTTCTAGGTATTTTATTCTTTTTTATGCAATTGTAAATGGAATTGTTTTTCTCTGGTAGTTTCTGCATGGTAATTTTGTTTCCTGCAACTTTAATGAATTAATTTATTAGTTCCAGTAGTTTTTTGGTGGTGTCTTTAGGATTTTCTATATATAGTATTGTGTCATCTGCAGACAATGACGATTTAACTTCTTCCTATTCAATTTGAATTTCTTTTATTAGTGTATTTATTTTTGTGTATAATTGCTGTGGCTAGGACTTCCAGTACTACATTCAATAAAAATGGTGAGAGTGGGTATCCTTGTCTTGTTCCAGATCTTAGAGGAAATATTTTTAGCTTTTCATTGTTGAGTATAATATTAACTGTAAACTTGTCATATGTGGCCTTTATTATGTTGAGGTATGTTCCCTCTACATCCAGTTTGTTGAGAGTTTTATCATAAATGAATGTTGAATTTGTCACAACTTTTTCTGCATTTATTGAAATGATTGTCTGATTTTTCTTTGCTTTATTGATGAGGTGTATCACATTGACTGATTCGTTGATATTAAACCATTCTTGGTTCCATGGGATAAATCTCATTTTATCATAATGTATGACTCTTTTAATGTATTGTTGGACTTGGCTTGCTAATATTTTTTTGAGAATTTTCGCATCTATATTGAACAGGGATTTTGGCCTGTAATTTTCTTTTTGTGTGTCTTTGCTGATTTTGGTATCAGGGTGATGCTGGCTTTGTAGAATGAGATCAGAAGCATTCCTTCCTCTGAAATTTTTTGAAATAGCTTGAGAAGGATGGGTGTTAACTCATCTTTAAAATGTTCAGTAAATTTCACCTGTGAAGACATCTGATCTTATACTTTTCTTTGTTGGGCGTTTAAAAAAAGTTTTTTATTCAATTTCATTACTGGTAATTCGTCTGTTCATATTTTCTATTTCTTATTCAGCCTTGGGAGATTGTCCTTTTCTTTTAGGTTGTTCTCCAGTCTTTATTCAATGTCTTGTGATCATTTTGGTTGTCTGAAGTATATCTTTACTATATTTTTTAGGAAGAGCTCATGGAAACAACATTCTTTGAGGTCTTGTTTATTGCTAACAGTTGTCTGTGTTTTTTATACTTGAAATTCAGTATGACTAAATATAAAATCCTTGGCTCACATTTATTTTCCTTAAATGTCTTAAATGTGTTACTTTATTTTCTTCTGGCATAAAGTGTTGCTGATTAAATGTTTGTTAATGTAATTTTCTGTCCTTTATAAGTCACACATATTTTTTGCCTAAAAGTCCAAATATTTCTTCTCACAAGGTCTAGTAATTTTATTGGACCATGTTTTGATGTTGGCTATTTTGCAACGATAGAGTCAGTTATATGGTGTACTCCTTCAATACGTAGGGCTTCCCCCTGATAGATCTGTTAGTAAATAATTTGCCTGCAATGCAGGAGACCCTGGTTCGATTCCTGGCCCAGGAAGATCTCCTGGAGAAGGGATAGGCTACCCACTCCAGTATTCTTTGGCGTCCCTTGTGGCTCAGCTGATAAAGAATCCACCTGAAATGCAGGAGACATGGATTTTATCCCTGAGTTGGGAAGATCCCCTGGAGAAGGGAAAGGTTAATTCTGGCTCTTCAGAATTCTGGGTTGCAAAGAGTTGTACACAACTGAGCAACTTTCACTTCACTTTTTCAGTTTGTAGTTTCATATCCTTTTTAAAAATATTAGGAATATTTTCTTGAATTATAATTTTTAAAATTTGTTTTGTTCTCTTCCTTGGGTTTTCATTTTCAGAGATTCCTAATATTCATATACTGCAACTTCTTTACCTATCTTAAATATTTGTCATTTTCTCTTAAATTCATTTTGTCACATCTCTTTTCATTATAATTTAATTTTTTCCTCTTGATGTTCAAATTTCAATTGTTTGTTGCATTAATTTACTCATGTATTCTAGTAGAACTTCCATTTCTTAAATATTTAAAATTTTTAATTATGTTTTGAATTGTATTACCTTACTTTTGTGTTATGTTACTATTTCATGTTTTATATCATTAACATAGATTGGGTTCTTATGAAATAATAATTTACAGTTTTGATCTTTTATTTTCTTCTTTCATGTCTTTCTGCTGTGATTTCATTGTGATTATATGGGTTTGAACTAGATACATTTTTAGTTGTTCATGTTTTATAAAATTATTTTTCCTGAATGTTTAGAAAGTAGTAGTAGATTTTCTAACTTCATAGTACTTCCCCTTCTGCTATATGCACACAGTGATTTAAATAAAATAGCATCTTGCTTTCTGAG